ACTTTCGTCCTACCGCAGTATATATACATATATGTTCAAATACAACATTGGTTGTTATGTGTCCTATTGAGTGTTACAACGTTTGCCACTAACACTAGCGCCCCCAGCATCGTCTTAACGTAATACAAACCGTGGCCAGTTTCCTTTCATCCGTTTTTGACAAGGAAACGACATAATACTTGCGCAAAAAGAGGCACTTCTGGGGTCCCATAGATAAGCTGAAACCACAAAGTAATCTGAAGAAGGCCTGCATGTATACACTGCCCAAAACCGTCATATAAACCACTCCGCATGTAAATGCTTACATCACCCTATCAGAACTCAGACCAAACGACGTCTCCGAGTTCCGATGACAAGGCTCCCACCTAACGCGTAGTACTCCCTAAACTCCAAAGCCCAAAAACTCGGCGATAAACCACAAGTCCCCAAACCCCCAAAGCCCTTAGCAGCAGCCCAAATCTGACATCCTCGGTTTAGGGTTTAGGGTTTTGGGCGAGTATCTCTGCAGATTCTCGCGCGTGGCGCAAGTCAATCGAACGGCTGCACCGGAACTGCGGAGGCCTTTGAAACGGACTTGGGGTCTTTGATCTTGTTGCTCAAAGGCTCCATGTACCTTTATAGTAGATACTTAGGCCTTAAAGGGGTCCCTATATAGGTACTTTAAGGCCTAAGTCTTTACTATATGGGCACATGGAGCCTTAGGGTTATATAGTGTGTTAAAGGCTTCTTGAAAGGGTTGTGTGAGTCTTCAGGATTCACGGCTTGGTTCATAGGCGGTTGGATGAATTAGAGTTCAGGAGTTTGGAGCTTGAGACTTAAAAAGTAGAATATCTCTCTCTGTGTGTTGTTTGCGTCTGTGTGTCTGCTTGCTAATCCGGCTATTCTGTGTTTTTCATTGGTGTGGTGACGATGAATTCTGGCATGTCTACTGCTCATCATATCAAGAGCATAAGCATTGATGGGGTAGAAGACCAAGTACTATTACTCCCTGATAGTCCCTATAACTATATATCTAGATGACCCTAAACCCTATTCCAGTTATTGAGGCCCTACTGTAGACTTTTCTGGGTTCAGGGTTTAGGCTTAGGTTGAAGCTGAAAAAGTCTGCGGACAAGACTGCTGGTGTCTGGGAGCCAAACTGGTTTAAAGGTCCTTTCTCCCTGCACTTCTTACACAACCCTGCCAAGCCGTCTGTAATCCTTCCAACCCCTCTAATACCACCCCCAGCTGAACAATCTTTATAAAGCGCTACAAAAGGCTTGGTTCAAGGACTTACATAGGAACCCTTGCAAGCAGCCCTACACACACCCCTCTAGAAACTCTCACAAGAAACCCGTATAGAAACAAATTAAAACCTTAGAAAACCGCAAAGCAGCCCTCCAACCCCTATCATACCGGCCCACAATTTAACCTGCCTTTAAAGACACCCTGTTTAAACTCTTTTATTGCGAATACAAAACCCCATACAAACACTCTGTAAAGGCCCTGCTGCCTTCAAGCTCACCGCCGATGGAGAGGGCCGGGTACATCAGAGGGCTTGCAAAGGCGAAATGGACCTCGAAATTCTCGCCTCGGTCTTCTTTAGGGCCTTCAGGGTTTGGTGTTTTCTCGAAGCCCCCACGAGTCGGGGTTGCGGTTGTGCACTAAGGCCTTGATGGTCAAGAGTTGGGGGCCCTAGGAGGATTGAGGGAGTCAGGGCTCTTCAGGTGTAGATGTAGGGTTCGGAATATCGGGTTCAGACTTTCCCAAATCATCCCTAAACCCTAAAACCCCTAAAAACCCTAAAAACCCTAAACACCGTGGCTGTCAACATTTATAAAAAAAACGATGACGCACGATGACACTTGTCCGGCCACCGGTTTCTGGTCCCCGGCAGTCTTTACTAAAACGGTGGAAACAAAACCGTTGGCTACCTTGTCGTTACCTTCTTCCAAGAAAACTCAGGGTTTAGGGTTTAGGGTTTAGGGAAAGCTCTATGCTGATGCTTTGAGTACAAGGTAATGAGAACACATCCTCAACGCTAGACCCTAAACCCTGCCAAGCAGCGCGAGAGAAAGATCTGCTCAGCGTTTCGGCTGCAGAAGACAACCTGGAAGCAGAATCCACGGCGGGACTCATGATGGAGTGTGGGCCCCTTCAGCAGCAGCAGCGAAACTGCGTCAAGTAGAACGCTTAAAAAATACGTGTAGCAGTATTCCTCGGGGTTTCGAAACATAATACAATGAACTACAATGAACACCAGAAAACTGTTCTAACTACGAAGGCGATTATGGTCAGTTCTACTCCATGGCATGTTTGGGCGCCGCAGCCCGCACACGCCAAAGACCTTGTGCCCTGAACACTAAGCCCAGAACCCAAAGCCCTACAACTACAACCCTTACCGACTCCCTAAACCCCAAACCCTAAAGGACCCCATTCCCCTGCCACCCTGCGTTCCTTCCCGGCCCCGAAGCACTAAAACTGCTCTTTGTGCGCGCCTTCTTCTCGGGGAGTCGTGTGACGAGATAGTCTCCAGCCCTGCATCTTTCGGCAACTACAGCAGAAGTCGACTAAGGGTTCTATAGGACTTAATTAATCAAGGAACCCAGAAATCTAAACCCAAACGCATTCAGCACTCCCCCCATACTGAAAGCAGCTGTAACACCACCACCACCAACAACAACAACAGCAACAAGCCCTAGCCCTAAAGCCTAACCCTCTATCTGAAGTCCAAAGACAACGCTCCGACACAAGCAGAAGAGGTTGGTGCTTGTGTTTGGGGTTACGGTTTGGGAGATTCGGAGATTCGGCTTCGACTTTTTTCGGAGCGCGGGTGCAGAGTTGAGGGCTTTTCTTCAGACTCCATGTGCCTATTTCGCGTATACTCTAATCCGAAAGTACCGTCCTTGTTAAGGGTAGACTACAAAGCTACATGGGTGTTGGAACTGAACCACTTCTGTGACCTTTCTTTAGGCGTGAGTTGAACAGTTGCATGCCCCAAAGGGTACTATAAGTACCTATACAGTAGAAAGTAGGGTTTCTAAACCAGGAATTAGCATTATTGTTTGAGTAAGTACTCCCCATATAAGTACTTGGAACCTTTCTGGTACATGCAGCCTCGAGAAGCCACTTGAGGCTAAAGAAGCGAAGCTCCGCATCCTAAGAGCATAACGCCGTCCACCCGGCTTAGGGCTTTAAGGGTTTAGGGTTTAGGTTTAGGGCCTTTAGGGCTTTCAGGATTTAAGGTTTACGGTACAAGCTTTAGTTGCATGTGGATTCCAACCCTACAAAAATACTAGGCTGTGGATTCCCAGGTAAACCTTCAGCGTCGTCAACGCCTTAAATCCTAGATGCCAAACCCTCACACCCTAAAGGAACATGAATCATAAACCCTTAACCCAAAAAGCCCTAAACCCTTAAACCCTTAAACCCTTAAGCCCTAAACCCCATAAGCCATAACCCCTAAACCCTAAACCCTATAAGCCCTAAACCCCTAAGCCCTCAACCTCATAAGCCCTAAACTGAAGGCCGGCCCCCCACCGCAGCGATGGGGGCCGGCCGAACCCTAAACCCTAAACTCCAATTCCAACGGCCAGTCCGAACCAGGCCTCAAGGGCTGTGGGATGACGGAGAAGGGCACCTGCCAAGGCATTCAGGGCCTATAGGGCCCACGGTTGAGAGCTTGGGGCTTAGTATTTGGGGTTTAGGGCTTTGGGTTAAGGGTTTAAGGTTCAGGGTTTAGGGTTCAGGGTTTAGGGTTTAGGGCTTAGGGCTTAGGGTTTAGGGTCTAGGGCTTAGGGTTGAGGGCTTAGGGCTTAGGGTTTCGAGTTTAGGGCCTCGGGTTTAGGGTTGAGGGCTTTGGGTTTAGGGTTTAGGGCTCAGGGTTTAGGCCTAGGGCTGAGAGCATCTAGGGCTTAGGGCTTGAGGTTGCTATAAGTTGCTATCAGGGTTACTATAAGGGTTTCTTTAAGGGTGCCTTTAAGTGTTCCTTTATGGGTTTCTTTAACGGTTCCTTTAAGGGGTTGGAGTTTTAGGGCCTGGGTTGAGAGCTTATAGAGCTTAGGGCTCCATGTTGCTGTAAGGTTACAACAAGGGTGTCTGTAATTGTTCCTTTTCTGTATGGGTTTCTTTAACGGGTTCCTTTATGGGTTCCTTTAAGGGGTTGAGGTTTTTAGGGCTTTAGAGTCCGGTTTTTATTCGAGAGTTCAATGTCAAGGATTTTGGGGTTTTCAGGGGTTTGGGTTCTGCGCAGCGCATTTTACGAGCACATAGCGGTCTATGGACCCACATATGAGGGCTCTGGGGCTCAAACACCATAAACAAATAAATAAATAATTGAATAAATAAATAAATATATATATATATATGTATAGATAGTTTGTTGATTCTGTTCGTGTCCTGAACAAGACTCACCCTCAGAGTCCATGTACCCAAGTAGTATATGGTTTGCCCTTACCCTGAGGGTCCATGTACCCAAATAGTATATACATTGGCCCCTAACGTACTTTTATAGGGACTACTTTAAGGCCAAAGTACATCTATTTGGGCACATGGACCCTTAGGGTTAGGGTAAACCCTAAACCCTTATTCTAGGGTTTAGCGGTTTAGGGAGGGGTTTGGGGGTTTAGGGCCAGGTGGAACGAATTCGGCTCTTGTTCGGCTCGGCACCTGGAACTTTCCTTTGGGCACAAACTTCATGTCCTCCTCAGTCACCTGGCCAGGATGTTTAGGGTTTAGGGTTTAGGGTTTTCGAGTTGCATGCTTTTGGGCTTGTGGCTTAGAGATCCTGCATGTTTAACTTCAGAAGATCAGGCATGTTAAGGTGCGATTTACGTGGTGCCTTGAACAAAAGTATACACTAAAATAATCATGTATCCCTAAACCCTAAACCCTAAACCCTTGCGACGGAAGGGCTGCAGGGGGCTGCGCTTCAGGATTTCCGGTTGACCTGACCTTGAGAACAGGACGAACATAGGGGCCTTAATAATTCCAGAATAGGGTTTTGAAGCCATTATACTATGTTTGTAATAAAGAACCCCCAACAGAGCATTGGTTTAGGCCCCTATATTATGCGCATCTGCTGCGGGAACTGCACGTCTGAGCACATTCCTGAATAAACCATCTCCTGTCTGCGAGAGTGCATGATGCCATGAGCCCATAGCCCAAAAGGCACAACATGAACATGGTTCAGGGTTTAGGGTTACATCAGCATTTCGGGATGGGGGGAGACGGCATTCCCTCACTCCAGCCTTGTAGACCAGAAACATGCCTGCCGTCTTCTCGTAAATCCGGAAGCCCCGCTTCCGAAGCTCGTCAAACTCCGGGCCCTTGCACATGGCACTCTTCTGTTGTTAGGGAGGTGGTTCTATGTTAGCGGTCGCTTAAAGATTGTGTTTTGGTTTGGCGATAGGGCTTACAATTGATCTGAGTGTTTCCGAAGTAGGGCTTCGGGTGGATGTTAGGAATTATGGGCTGTGCATAAACAGGAATAAAGGGTTGCTCATACAAAGTAAGCTTGCAAAAAGGTACGAATTATGAGGGTTTGAAACGGGCGTTTTGCGGCTATCGGGGAGGAACCGAAAACATCGAGAAGTCGCGCTATGGATCATGCATGGCTCTGTCCATCAGAAGGACGGTATACCCTAAACCCTAAACCCTAAACCCTAAACCCTATAAGCCCTAAACCATATGCTGTTCAGGGTTTAGGGTTTAGGGTGCGGCGCCTTGCGCGGTACCTCCATGGATGGCTGGCGGTAGTTCTGTGCAAAGGTCTCCCCATCCACGACGTAAACCTTCCGAGCATGGGTTCTACCTATAGTCTCCATTGTAGTTCCTTCTTGGGGTTACCTTATAGGATCCTAAATATAGAATTGCTAAGAACGTAAACCTTCCGAGGATGGGACTTAGGTTTACCTATTATAGTCTCCATTGTAGTTCCTTTTTATGGGTTTAACCAATTATATATTAGGGATTTATAAGGTATCCCCCAAAAGGAACTACAATGGAGACTATAGGTAGGTTTAGGGCACAAAGCAGAACTGCGAGTTGTTCAAGATTTGGATCAAGAGCTCAGAAACCAACTTGTCTGACTTGGTCTTTCAGCGCGGCCTTCCGCTGACTTAGTGTGTGGTGTAGGGTATCGGGATTTTAGCCCTGTCCCGAAACCCTAAACCCTAAGCCCTAAACCCTAAACCCTAAACCCACTTAAGCTGAAGCCAGGTTGCTGAACACTTTGGGGCGCGCGCAGTAATCTGCTTTACAATAGCCAGTGCCAGCTGCACAAGAAGCCGGATCTGACGTCCCCAAGCCCAAACCCCTGAACCGTTTTGGAGAACATCCGTTTGTTTTCTGGAAGGTCAGCAAAACAAACACGTTTGGAGATACCTGTATGTCTATGTACATATATATATATATATGTATACAACATCTGTATATAAGTATGTCAAATTACATATTTCGTTCGGTATTCATTTACTCATGTATTGCTTTTCTGGTTTAACTAATACCGCTGAATACAGGTAAACCGTAGCCCACAAAACACACGCGCACACAGACAACAAACACACAAACAAAAACCAAAGAACACAGACCCTAAACCCCAAACCCTAAACCCCCAAACCCAATAAGCAAAAAACAAGGAGACACAAAGTACCTCGAGAGCCTTCAAAAATTTTCTTCCGGACCCTCTGAAGCCCTCATATTTCTCAGACCCCTGCTTGGCATGGAACGTCTCTAAACCCATAGGCCCCATAGTAGTAGTTCCTTTTCGGGGTTCATCGTGGGGTTTAGGGTTTAGGGTTTAGGGTTTAGGGTTTAGGGTTTAGGGTTTAGGGTTTAGGGTTTAGGGTTTAGGGTTAGGGTTCCTGTAAGGTATTCCCCCAAAAAGGAACTACTATGGGGCCTATGGGTAAACCCAAGAAACCTGCCCTTCACGCCGGTGGGGACTTCAGGGCTGGGAGTTTGGGGTTTAGGGCTGAGGGCGGTTTAGGGTTTAGGGTTTAGGGTTTAGGGTTTAGGGTTTAGGGTTGAAGTCTTGGGTCTACCTGGACCCTAAGGAACCCACCTTTTGCAGGTTCCTTGTTTTTTCTTATGTACGTCCTTACAAAGGTGCGTTATTTGGGGTTAAGGTAGGGTTGATTACGGTTTCGAATGTAGGGTTGAGAGTTTAGGGTCAGGAGTTTGGGGTTAGTGCTAAGGCGGCTAAGGGTATGGAGTTTCGGGTTCAGGGGAATCCGGATCGACCAAAACTTAGGTGGTGGGGAGGTACAGGGGGTACGGGAAGTGGGAACCGATGAAGAGAATCTCCAGTCCAAAACTCCGACTGCTGATGATGTAAACCCTGCATTGCCTTAACGACCCTAAACTATGGGAATTACGGTGTATGACTGACTGATTTTGGGTAATGCAGGATGTATATCATCAACCGTGTAAACGATGGTGAGGAGTTTAGGGTCTAGCAGCTATAAGTCGGCTCTACCTAATTACCTTCTTCCCAAGTCGATGCTACTTCGATTCAAAGGTTCCAATCTTGACATTAAGAACAAAGCCTCAAAGCCTAAACTCGTAACCTTAAGCCCTGCACACCCCCAAACCCTAAACCCTGTAAACCCCTGCCTAAACCCAACAAGCTAAACCCCGAAGGCTTCAGCGGCTTGAACAAAAACCTAACGCGCCTCACGGTCGACGCTCTCTTCCTGAACAACCTGGGCTTAGCGTTTAGGGTTTAGGGTTTAGGGGTTTAGGGGTTAGGGTTTAGGGTTTAGGGTCGCATCTGCGTGCCCCACCCGAAGACAATGAGCGATCCCTGTTTTTGTGCTCTTATGACGAGGGATAGATGCAGTTTAGGCTGTTAGGGTCGATGCAGGAAAATTGGGCCCAAAGGTCTACTGTACCTGATCATTAGACAATTGGGTTTAGGATACTCGAAATAATCTCTTGCAATTGTGTGTTAGTATGTGGAGGAGCAAGTGCTTGGTAGTCACTTGGACCTTTAGGGCTATACATACCTAGACCCTAAACCCTAAACCGTGAACCAAAATAAAACCTAAACCCTAAACCCTAAACCTAGACAAGTCAAGACTTCCCAAACTCGGGGGGAACCAGATCCTTATCCCTTATCCATTAACCTCAGGCTCCAAAGAGCCCAAAGTGGCTACTGCTTCTAGGGTTTAGGGTTTAGGGTTTAGGGTTCCTATAGTCCCCATTGTAGTTATAGTTCCTTTTGGGGTCCCCCTTATAGGATCCTAGATACAAGAATGGTTTAACCAAAGAAAGGAACTGCAATGGGGACTATAGGTATAGCGGTCAGATCCCAAAGTAGGTGCCATTTGTATACTTGGAGCACTAGGGCCACTACATGCCCAGTTCATCGTGCCCTACATCCTGAACCAGTCTTTGAGGACCAAATGACCCTTGCAAGTAGGGGCATTATTCCCGTATACTATGAATCCCTATATGGTATATGAACCTTGGGTTCATGTCGTCCCTAAGGGTCAGAGTAGGTGTGGAGTCGTAGGTTGAGGGCCCATCGGAGTAAACCCGAGAGGCTTGAGCAAGTCAGGCCTCAACCGTACATCCTATAGGTAAAGGTATAATTAGGGTTTAGGGTTTAGGGTGTAGGGTTTAGGGGCGAAACCCTGCGCCCTCAATGCCGAAAAAACTATGTTCTTGAGGCCCTCTACACACTATCTCTGTACTACTGGTAGCCTGGTAGCATGGGAAGCTGATGCCTTTGCGTAGATATAGAGGAGAGTAGGCAACACGTAGACTTTAGGGAAGCAATCAGGAGATGACAAGTGAAGGCTTGCGGGTGCTTGGAGGCTCGCTTGTCTTCGCAAGTCTAATTAAGTTGACAACTAACCTTAAGCTCCGAAGCACCTCAACCCTAAACCCCCAAATCCTACAATGTTTAACCCCAAAGACTTGAGCCAATTGGCCATGCTGGTGTCGTCCAGCACGGTGGTTCTGGCTACGACCTCTCTTCGAGGGGTTCTGTGAGGGCTGTGAGGGTAGTACTTAGGGATAAGGTTTGGGGGTGTACGGATCAGGATTCGAGAAAGGTCCTTAAAGGGTTCCCTACGGGGGCCAAGCACCTAATAGTCATATACTCACCCACATACTGGTAGTAACCTACCCTAAACCCTAAACCCTAAACCCTAAACCCTAAACCTACTATTTACGTAGCTGGAGCCCTACATTTCTTCAGCGGCTTCCAGAGTAGGCGACGGGCGTTGCGCCTCCTGCCCAACAGCTTCTGCTGCC